ATACAAGTGTGTAGTATGACAATACCTTTAACAAGTTCGTGTTTTTGGTTTCTACGTTGAAAGTCAAGGTCACTGTAACTATTTTTAGAAAAACTTGGTCATCACTCTTTTGACTTCATTCCTCAATGAAATTTCATGAAACTTAATGGATAAAGACTGGATATTACATACATGTAATCAAGAATTTGTTTTGTTTTCCAGAAATTGGCGATTTTCAGAAGATTGTTGGGACCTTTATCGAGGTTGTAGATAATGTTTCAAAGGAGGTGGAAAAAGAAAAAATGAAGGTAATAAATATATTTTCTTTTTAAAGTTGGATGATGACGTCTAATAAGAATAAGAATATTATTGAATTTCTAAAACAAAAAGATGATACAAGTTACTTTCTATTAGTCAAATCTGATTAATTTGTGTCAAAAAAAATACAGGTTTACATTTTCATTTATAGAGAACTAGCTAGCCTGTAGGTTGATTTAAAAAGTTTACTATCCAGCTGTCAGACCCATATTTAAGAGGTAAATATTAACTAAATATTGAATTTTTCACTATTCCCAACATCACATCTACTCACCTTGGGAGTTGGGCAACTTCAATTACAGACTGTACGCGGGACATCATTGTATATTTTTTGTGTGTTTATATGTTATACAGGAATCTTATTACTGTATTGTTTTTCTCACCAGGCCATTGGTTCCAGGAATTTATTAAAATCAATAGCGAAACAAAGAGAATCTCAACAGCAACAACTGCAAGCATTGACGTCAGAAAAGAAAATGCAACTGGAAAGGTAATTAAGATAGTTGATATTTAAGCAGCTAAAATGTGATAATGTTCCAATTTTGAATAAAGTTGTCCTGCTTGAGTTTATTATTCACCCCACATGTGTTGCAATAAATAATTTTGTTGTCAAGATTTGTTTGACAGGAGTTATCTCCCATTTGTTGGTTGGACAGTAAATTTTGTATATGTTATACCTTTATGTTACTTTTTATTCTCTATACTCTTCTACAGTGAAAATTTTCGAAATTCCAGATGTTTGCCTTAGAAAAATGTTGACCAGTCAACATCGAAATGTTGACTGGCAGAGAGCGGAATGTTGACTGCTTACGTCTCAGCTCATTATACTTTTCGGTACTTCCCGGCCATTTCTCGGCAACTTCTGCCGTTAAGCAATTACCAATAGTGGCATCTCTATAGGAAGTATTGCTCACGCCTGCTTCCGGCCGTCTGCAATGTTTACGTATGTCAGCTGCCTTATGTACAATCATGGACAGATTTGCGGAATACACTGCGTCAGAAATTGATGAAATTCTTAATAACAGAGACAGTACAAACACCA